GGCAGCTATTTACTGATGTGGACCTGCTATCTTCCCACCCATCCCACCCCAGGGGAGGATCTCCATCACACAGTAATCTCGTGTGTGGGAAATTAACGTCTCCTACCCCTAACCCTGCAAGAGACTGGACCTCCGTTTATTCGTCCTTATCCGAGAAGACTAGAATATCTAACCATTTCTTGATGTTATAGAAAGGTAGCTTCTTTGCTGTTTTTGCTTGTGGATATTTCCTAACCTACAGCATTTCATACTCAAAAGGCTGGATTCGGACATTATCACACTCGGAGCATGGTGCCTCAAAATGTTAGAAGTAGAGTTGTTAGTATCCTGATTGACTCGTGTGCAGATTCCATTCGACGAAAAGTACTGTCACGTCGTACCAGCCAAGAACTAGTAAGCACACAGGTATTTGTAAATATTAGTGCAGCTTCATCATTTGTTGAATCTTGCTGTTATTGAGGAATCCTCTTTTGATACGCGATAAACTACCATTATTTTTTAAAGGTGAGAGAGAGGGAGTCTTGCCGTGCACTGTGAGAGAGTTTTTGAAGGACGTTTCCTAACGTATTTGAGGTCGTTCACAAGTATTGTTTTATCTCATGAAAATACTTTTTGAAGGATTACAGAGTAAAGGGTTATGTTTTTTTTCCTTACTCAGCAGTATCTGGGTTAGTGATAGCAGTTCTTCCTCAGTAGATTGCAAAATGTATTCCCGCCTAGTTGTGATGCATATGATCATTACTACAACTGAACGACGGTTTTAAAACACAAGGGACTGCCCTAAATTTCTTTCTCGTCTTAAATAGAGGTAAAAAATTTTGAGTGCAGATGATCAAGAGCGAAAAACTTATTTCAAATAAGATTTGCGGAAAAATAAACCTTTTATCAGTTGATCTTTAGCAGACGCCTAACTTTGTAGGCTCTTGTTCTCTGGAAATCTTATTTCTCGGCTTAAACGTGATTAAGAGATAAAAGTACATTCGTGGATTAAAAAAAAAAAAACCGGCTACTAACAAGTGATAAATATCTTTTTTATTAGTATTTTTTTCACAAAGCCGCAGAAATGACCCTGAACTTGCAAAATTGTTTCCAATACATTCGAATTCTATGATGGTGACGTCATCATTGTAATGCTATCAGACTTCATATCCACTACAGTTCTGTTGTTCTCCACTTTGAGCATGTAAAATCACAAAGACCTTAAACCAATTTGAGATAACACTCAAAAGATTTACCCAACTAATTCTACATACAAGTGCACTTTGCATGGTTCTTAATTTGCGCGTCTTTTTTGGGATCGTTTATTTTACGTGCGCCGAGGCAGACCTCCAAACCAAGATGTCGTTGTCATATGCTACACCACGTTCTTTCTGTTTTCTTAATCTAATGGGGTACTTAGGTGCACTTAATGTCTCGAGCATATCTATGAGTTTGACGCAATAACATCACTACCAACTCAGCTGTTCTCTAGTCACTCCAGTGGCCTGGGAAGCTCCAATGAAAATACAAACTCCTGCGTCTTGACCGGGTTGATCTCTTTGTAAACAAAATCATATTTAACCCAACACGCTATGTAAACATCCTTCAGATATACTTAATGGTCTCTGACTCGTATCACGCAATAAGTGAGTGAGCAATTTGGGACAAGACCTTCAGAGATAACTCTGACAATTGAAGTGCAAAGCACAATTGGATTTGACCTTTTACGCCACAGTGCGTTAATTGCCCACTAAGCTGCAACCAACTTGTCAATCTTTGAATCACGTTTTTAGATCGGTTAATTGAACAGCAGAAGCAAGCGATATCCGGAGGAAAATCACACAGCTTTGCTCAAGAGAGCATCCAGTCGATTTTGCTGACAAAGCCTATACCACGAGATGAAGAACCGAAAAAAGGAAATTTTTCAGTCTGTGGCAGTTCTTTTCTTCTCTCTATTTGTAGCTCAAGGTATAAAGAACAGTTTCTCGACAAAGTCCGGTCTTTGCCTCTCACATGATTTGGCTGCAAGGAAATGAGTAATGTGGAGTTTATTTGTGTTTTATTTTCAGGTGGCCGTGTAACTCAAATTACCCCAACAACTGGAAGTTTGCTTGGAGCAACAAGATTAACGATACATGGAGAAGGTATGCTATTCTGAAATTTGCTATTGTTAGCCGATGATTTTGCAGTAGTTATTTGGCTTATTACTGCTATGTCACAATAAGAAAATAACTTTGCTGTTAATCAGTGAGCAAAATTTCAATCAGTCAAAACCCAACCTCTCTCATCAAAACCTCGGCAGTTTTGACTGGGATATATATATTTCGACCGCATTATCACTTTGATCTAAGGAGGGATAACAATAGAAATTCTAGCTTGGTTTGCATTATCTGTTTGACCGGTTTCATGGACATCTGTGCAGAACCCAGACACAACACACTACACCTTCTTTAACCGAAGCGATATCCAACCAAAGGCTAAGTAATCGCGGAAAAAAACTTCTTTGACAATCAGCTTGAAAATCTTTGTTCAGACTTCTTACTAACTATGAACGATTGAAAAATAACTACTTTAAATGTCAGGGACATGAGACAGATAGGTGACCTTACAACTAATTGTTTTGTTTGTTGAGATTTTAAGATAACTACCTCTCACGAACACAGAAATTTTTAGATGCTTTGTAAGCCATCGATTAGTTAACTCGTGCACAAAAAGTTCGCAAGTTTTAGAAGTCACTACTTTAGAGAAACTCGCAAAATCAAAGCAGGGTTCTTTTTGGGGCCTTAGGCGGCATCATGGTGAGACAAGCTGTTATTGAAGGTGTTCGAATTTCACTATTGGAGACCAATTAAGTCACCTGTGCATTTCAAGTTCTATACCGATGTTACAATATTAAATTATGCGAGTAAGCCAGGTGTAGGCCAAGCGGGAATTTTTCAGAGTCTTTAATAGTCGCCGGAACAACAAGAAAGTGAACTGGACACAAAAGTTCTCTAAAATTCATGCCAAATTATAAGGAGAAATCGCTAATGCAGCCAATTTTGCATATTAAGTTTTTTCCTAATTGCGCTTAAGTCCGATAAAAAGCGGGCACGAGTTACTTCCCGCAAAGCCAACAACGTGTTGAAGAAGTTTGCTAAAAAAAAGGACCGACAAAATGTTGGGCTTACTTGTCTAAGAAGGGTCACGTTCTTTGGATAAAAATAACCCTACCGTTTTGAAAACACCCCCGCTAGCCGTGTTCCACGCTTGTGAACATAATCAATCGGTTGAGAGGGGGTCATGTATCAAGGCATGGATCCAAATCTGTGCGATAGAAAAGAAGTGGAAGGGGAAATCAGCCCCCCTGGTTACATAGCTTAGAGGAAATATTGATTCTTACCGCCACCCAGTTTTGCGTTATCTGATGGTATGCTGATGTAAGCTACGAGTCTAGCCATTTTGTTGCTTCGCTTCAACTGAAGTGAGTTGGTTCGGTTCAATCGATCCAATCACAGGCAGCCCAAGCTCACAACTAGAAAAGCGGACGTGACTCTTACCGTGTTGCGCAACGTTTTATATTTATAAAGGTTTGTATGGGATGTTATCGGTTTGCCTTAAAAGAGAGAAAAAAATGTCTTGTTTTGAAATAAAATGGGCTTACCTTATTGCCTTGTTGTTTTCTTTGTTGATTCCTAGCGTCTCAGGCCATTTTGAAGCGTTTTCGGCGAGTTAGCGCTATGTTGGTGTTCAACTGCTAAAAGAAAGACAAGGCCGGAAACCTATTTTAGAAGCGTCCGTCGCCCGAAGCGAATAATTCCGCCAAAAAATTACCACCAGTCTCGATTCCTCCAGAAAATCAAAGCAGAGATGTTGCAGTTCCATTTTCCATTCACTCGATTCACAATTCCTCCCACAGATCTTTCACTAGCGATACTTTTATCTCCAGATCGATCGGCTTTCCAATTTCGAATTTGGCTAGTTGAAACATTTGTGGGCCCGTTCGCCGATCGCACAGTATGTTGGTTAACAAAAATAAGCCCGGCGAGGGTAGCCAGCGGCCTGTAGTCGACAAAAAAAACAGTTAGCTCCCCTGGTCCGCTACAGGGTAGTGAGCTAGGGCTGCTTGTGATCCAATAAAGAAATCAACGTGTGACACTTTTGGCTGCAGAAATATTATTGTATAATTACCTTGTAACGTTTTTGTCCCTTGTGAATTTTTGTAACCTAGTTTTTGATATTTGCATCTACAACGATTCTAATGAGATGAAATATGTGACATTTCCTAAGTCGCATAGCATATACACGTACTGCCTTTCGATGAAACTTTCATCTCGCACATGTAAGTTCCTGGAATGTTAAGATGGGCCAAGTTTTTGTGAAGTTTTCGCTACCGCTAATTAAAGTAATTTTATTAACCACTTAACAGTAGTACAGTAAAACCTCCCAAAAAACAAAGCTCTCATAATTCCCTACTGTAAAAGCTCAAGTTTTAGACTCGAACTGCCGCAGAGGCTGGTCTTGAAAGACAAGCTAGCATCTATAATCAAACGAATTCTTATACCCCGTGCACTACAAATTGCAACTACCTAAAGCCGTATGAATTTAGGGAAAATTGTCCGCAGAAGTTCAGGATTTCTGATATTGAGCAAGGTTTAACTACCGTAGATCTTTTCTTCCTTTCTTAGATACCTATCTTAATCATTTCAGGATTTGCACAGAATCAGTTCAACGAGTTTGAGAAAGAGTTGGGCAATAACGTCACCCTTGTATCAGTCTCTCGCGCCCATGTTGTACCTTGTGACGTTATCTCGTACTACACGACCCCGTATCGAATAGTTTGTCAAACGAGGTCAGTACATAATTTTCATTGCTTCACCCTTGGTCTTTAATGAACTATTTCGCAACTTTTAGATCAAGGCAAATGAACCTTTGGCCCTTCTGCTCTAAAAACCAATTAAAACAAACATTTAAACAAACAAAAAAACAGACAAATAGTTGGTGTCGTCCTAAATGAAGATGAGGACCACAAGTCAGCTATCTTTATTATCATCATTTTGTCGATGATTGTAGATTGGCAATTTTAAACTTTCCCTTTCAACAACGCTTGCAGCACACTTTGCATCGGCGAAGTCGAGCCCGATACCTTCCAGTAAACTCCACAAATTCTCAGTTTTTTTGTCCTTTTCATGATCAAGAGTTTTGGAAACATTTCAACGGATTCCAGTACTTTTCAAAGCAGAACAAACTTTCGTTTCTCTCAGTGATATGTCTTTTATACTTTGTCTCACTTTAAGACCCTCCCCGTCAGGAGAAGATAGCTATAACATACGAGTGTTAGTGGATGGGAAGTGGCTGCATAACACAGGTGTAAATGTGTATTGCCGAGGAGAATGTTTATTTAAGGTAATAAATATTCCTGTAGGTATTACTGTTGTAACTTTAACTTGGCCTGCACGTTACGCTTTAGACATATTTCAAAATGAAGTAGACAAGATGTTAGTTACTTTTAGATATAAGGTAATTATTCTTAAATAAAGTAGAAAGGCATTTTCTCATGTGACACTTTGACTTTCTCTGGAAATTCCAATTGCCCCTATGAACGAATGATACCTTTGGTTAACCAATCGTTAAACACTTTATTCTTTCAGTACACTGAAACGAAGACACCAACAATTACTTCAATAACACCGAAATATGGACTACCTGGTAAGTGCTCTGTGAGATTATCCGCGTCGCGTCTAGTTAATTTCAGGTCTGAGTACGTGGGAGTATGATGTGCACTCAGGCATAATCCCTGATTTGTCACTATAGATATGACACTTGACGATCTATAACTTTAAGCAAGCCAAGAAACAGGGGAAATTGGTAAAAAGAAAAAAAAAACTTTTCAAATATAGCTCTCATTCTTATAACCTTGCAAGGGTTCGAGAATTTAGGCACAAAGGGAAGTCGCCTGTGTAATAGAGTTAAGTTGATTTTCGCATTTTCATCACAGAGAAAATAACACCATGTCATATATTGAACCTTTAAGCTGTTAATTTGGTATCATGGGCATAAGCATTAAGGATTTGGCATTTCAAATTACCTCCAGATTTGACATCTCTGTTAAAGCATATCAGTTGACAGCTTCAACCGAAAGCTTGACATTCCTGAGTGAGAAAAGATTCGCTTCCACAGCTAGATGTCGGATGAAAAGAAAGTCGCATATTTGACCTAAATAAGAGGTTATTTAACGAAAAAGTGCGACTTAAATTTGTGACTGCAATCGTGCGAGGGATTGAACACGAACAAAATATTAAATATGTTTCAATGACACATCATGCTTTTGAACCACATTTCAGTTTATTTATAGAGTAAGTTTGTATCCCGTTGGGTTTATCTTGGTAGCCACTTACTGTACCAGTCATCTACAAGCGCGACGGGTTCCCAATACCACAAGATCTCTAGCCAGTCAGTGAAACCCGTTGTTGTGGCTCACAGCCAGTTTTCTCACACTAAACATGGCATCTCTTGCCCGCGCTACTTCGGCAGCAACGGGGTATCTTAATGGAACAGCTTATTTGACTACTGTTGGCGGTTTAGACCGTTTAGGTGGTTAGAGAAAAGGACATTTGATGGTTGATGGTTAAAAAATGTTTTGGAATGGAAGTCCATCGAGAGCTTTTATGTTGGCATATTTATCGTGGATATAAAATTAAACAAAAAACAAAACAAAACAAAAAAAATTACGCGATCACTTCTGCTGATAATGAGTCCGCGCTCGGTAAGAGCAAAACTATTTGTGCATTTTTCTTTCGTTTCTTCATTCCAAATACAATGATAATTATCAGGGGCGGATCCAGGAATATTTGATTGGGGGGGTCCTGAAACTTTGGTTCAGAAAGGACTGTTGGACTCTTTTGAGGCAAATTACTTCTCCCCCACACCCCCTCCCACCAGTCCCTAGTCGTGGTTGCATGTTATAATTCCTTGGCCGCTTACCGTTTACTTGGATTCATTAATTAAAAAAATCAGCCAGTTAAACAGTGATATATGATCCTGTTGATGTAAGAATTTCAGTCTCAAAGTTGTAAGCGTCAGGTCTGATAGGAGGGGTCCGAACCCCCTGGACCCTCCCCCTGGATCCGCCATTGATTATATGTTAAACTCTGCACAATACGTGGAGATGGTTGTGTTGGTCACGCAAAACACGTAGGAAGGAAAATACCTTTAAAAACCAATCGGTTCCTATCAAATTTCTCATATTCTAATTTCGAGGCAAAACAACATCTGTGTGAAAGAATAAGTAAAAAAAATTAACTTAGTCTCCAAATTAATTGCCTGCAAGCCAGCGACGAAATGTTTTCTGATAAAAGTCATATTTGTTTGCCGCGAATTTGTGTAAAACGCCCTGTGCGTAGATATATTTGCTTCTATCATATGGATCTGAGTGCTTTATCGTGCACAAAAACACTCGTAGAATTCCGACCACTACACCCGGGAACCAAGTGGTGTCTTTTTTGCTTGTAACAAGAATGGCGATATTGAGCACCGATGTCACCGTTCCTGTGTTTTCAAACTTTGCAGAATGAATTTAGTTTATTTGTTCTTTGGAATATTTATTTTCGCCGCAAGATCTGTTGTGGTAAGCGACGAAGAAGTGACAGCTTTTTCCGAACAACCAGCTTAAAAGAACAAGAACACCAAAAACAAAACGCATCTCCTATGGATTTCTCGGTAGTTGCGACGAGATAAAGCTAAAGTTTTGTTTTGTTTGACGGTGCTGAACAGCCTTCAAAGGTTCGTAGTGAAAAGAAGATGAAAATAAAAGTATCTAATGATTCAAACCAGTTCTCGTGTATTTTGGACTAACTGAAGGTGCCATATGTAAACCTTTACATAATTTTGGCACTGGGTATGTATTTGTACGAAAGCCAGCTTTTCTATTTATATTTATTGTCTATAAGATAAAAAGAAAATTACACGTTAACTCAAAGATATGTAGTTTATATCCTCGTGGCACAAATATATTGTTCTTGACCTCGAACATAAAATTCACGTGTTCTCGCAGCCATGCAATAATCTCTGTCTATGCATAGTTAGACTAACTATGGTCTATCAAAGCCGACAGCTCATTCGCGGCGTGACTTGACTCAACTTGACTTCTTGCTATGCAATATCTGAGAGACCTTAAGTTCATTCAGGAGCGTGCAACCTTGGATATTTAATCCTGGTTAACGTTGACTGGGTTTATATACAGTAAACAACAAAGATCTAGGATTTTTCACGTTTAAAGGATAACTGAAGATGTGCTCGTTTAATGAATGAAAGCCAACCGCATTGAACAACCCTAAGTGGGTATTTCACTAGACTACGATAAAGATAGTCGAAGTTCGAAATTAACAGAGTATTTTTTATATTGGATAACCATGATTATCGAGCGAATCACTATTCTAAAGAAAGGGAAGAGGACGAGAGATTGGTTGATTTACATCACTTTTATTTCTCTGTTTCGAGAAAACTTGTCACATTATCCAGCTTTGCCGGATCCCAGCACCAATGTCTCATAAATCATGACGTCGTGTCAGGTTACTTCATTGTCAATTAAAATGCTCATCGCCGCCATCTTTCGAACATGGCAGACGCGGGCCTGCCAAGCACAGTCCCTGAAATTCATAGAAATAAAAATTATGTTTAGCTTGCCGCGTGAATCAGCGGGAAGCTTTATGGCCAGTGGTAACCACTGGCGTTGTACTTTGTAAAAAAAATTCCCAAACAATTATCTGCGGTCAGCGAACACATTTCTCGTTGTTGAATTTGCCAACAGCACCACATTTAAGGGTCCAGACGCGATCATTCTTACAGCCCAACCAGTAACTGTACAGCGACGTGATTGCGTTGCCTACAAATATGTGAAGTAATATCAGGAATTAACTTTAAATTGTTCAGTTTGAAATTAAACAAGTTAAATAAAAAGAGGCTTCAGCCTCACATCCACATACTTGAGGAAACTCTGCCAACAAACACAGACGTAAAATGGCTAAAATAGGAAGCAAAAGTTTCTAGTCACCAATTCCTCACCTGAAATTCATTGGCAAGTGCCAATCATTAGCCCAGTCCCTATCCGATGGCAATTCAGAATTGCAAGACGTCGATTGTCCAAAGGAAACGGCTAAAACTGCCAGGAACGCATAGATACGAATCGTTGTCGACATACTACCTAAAAAAAAGAGAAAATATCAACATTGTCTTTAGACTCCAATTTTATTGTGAAAAATTTGTTTAAAACTGCGTGCCAATCAAGCTTCGTAGTCAAAACTCAGTTTTTTTTTACCGTATAAAATTAAATTAATTTGTTCCATTACAATTTGCGTACTTCCCTTTCATAACTATTTTAAGCAAAGAGATTTTTGATGAAATTTCAATTTTCACTGTGACTGAGTTACCAGTGTTGCCAGACTTTTGTCTATGAGCTTCTTGAAATCTCTTCTGCTCCTCTTAATAGAAACAGTAGTGCTGTGTTGGAGAGCTACTGAAAATGCAGAGCTTTTTTTAATGAGTCATTTCCGTGACGTACCAACCAAAACTGTCCACGAAAAACACTGTTTGCAGCTCACATACATACATACATACGTATATACATACATACATACATACATACATACATACATACATACATACATACATACATATATACATACATAAACTTTATTGAAGTGTCAAGGTATTTAGCTAAAAGCTAATTGTGGACACTATAAATGAATAACACGAGTATAATATAAGATTAAATAGAGAATATGTAAAAATATTAAGGATATGTTCTCAAAATATCATTAATATAGTAATATAGTGGCAAGTAGCAAGTATCTCATCGCAAAAGGAGTGAAGACCACAGCAATCCTCCTATTAAAAAAATAAAAAGTTCCTTGCTAAATTAAATGAGCTTGAGAAATGAGAAACAAACTTTAATTGTAGAATCATTTCATAATTCCTCTAGATTCGAGCAGTTTTCCTTAGCACAGTATAGGCGGATTCATGCTGACGTCATTGTTTACATTTTTGCTCATTTGCATACGGCTTTGCGTAAAGAAGGAAGCATGTTAGATACAAATTGACTTTAGGCAGCTAAGGAGCTAGAAAACCTTAGTACATGGTGAAATTTTTAGCTCTTTGAGTGTAATATTCAACGAGAAATAGTCCATCAAAAACTGCAAAATTTCTGGGTGGCAAAAGCGCTAATGAGTTCATACATTCTATGTAAAATTTTGAGTTTTTAAACCCGTGTTGCACAAAAAGTACTCAATGCATCAGGCTCGTATTCGTTGGCCGAGTTAATCGTAGTTTGACCTTTCGATATTCAGATCTAGAACTGAACTCCATCAGAAACTGAATTGCTTATGCTAATGAGGCAAATATTGTAAACAAGGATTCCCCTATTTGGCGAGCATCAAAACTTGTAAAGGCGAATTTTTCTTCCAATTTCTTTTCCCTACCTGTGTGGCCATAATTGTTTATAAAACTATATAAACAGGTAAATGTATGCTGCTGCAATTATTTACAGGAGATAAAAACTCAATTTAGGAATGAATGAAACACAGTTCTGTCCATCTTACTTTGTCTAATTACATGGGTCATCCATGTAATTAGACAAAGTAAGACGGAGTCAGAGTCAAAGTGGAAGATGCACGTAAAATACATGCATTTTATTGATCTACGATGATAGTTGCTTTTGCTGTAATTTTATGAATAGCTGGAGCGGCGGGTTATTACATTAATGACATATAAAGGTCTAAAATGTTCTCCAAAATAGATAGTCAGGATGCATGTCATCGATCGAAAACTGAGGGAACGAGTAGAATTTTTTTTGTATTAATTCTGAATTTACAGGATGGTCTTCACTGTAAGCTACTATACTTAGGGATAATGACTGAACAAATTGTAATTACTTTTCTCAATAATGAAAACAATCAACATTTTTCAAGAAATTCATTAAAATCATTCGAAAGCAACATGTACATGCAAAACAGTTTCTCTCTGCGTTGCCGGAAGTGAAAAACTTTATGATGCTGCTACTAATCGGTATCATAACCCTTTTTTAACTATGTACCAGTTAATTCGGTCGAAAAGTGTTGCTATGTAGAAAATGTCAGTATTAACCCGTAAGCATTAAGTCCTCGCTTTGTTGATCTTTCAGTTCTATAGGAGTAGCCCCTGAAAGAAATGAAGTCTTTGACTCCCCTCTCCACTGTAAAAAAAAAAAAAAAAAAACAGAAAAAAATCTCCGTTTGGGGCAATGCTTCTGTTAACCCCATTTCTTTTTATTTGTTCCTAGAAACAATAAAGCTATTTAATATTTTCAAGGTTTTTCTTTAATGAAATGAGCAATTGGGATATTTTTTATGATATTTATAGTATTAGCGAACAGCTATAAGGAATCTGATAACTACGAAGTTGCATTCGAAATTTCTGTTATATACCAATCAAATCGTCCACCAGTTTACCATAAATTTATTTTCATTCCAACTACAAACAATGTTCGAAATTTACTGTTTTACGACAGGATCACTGTTGGAAATTCGTGGAAGGATGTTTACAGATCAAGTTATTGAAACAGAGGACTTTGACCCAGAGTTATCCTCAATTGAAAGGTACAGAAGGGGCTCAAAATAGGATGTTGATAACAATTAGACTCTGTGCCACAGTAAAGTGCATTGCATCAACTATATTAGCTTCTGTTATTTTAGAAGTCATAGAAAGCTGTAGGCTACAAGCGTCTTTTGCTTCATTGAATAAAAGATAATATAAAACATTCCTCTTAATGAATTCTACTTAAACGGGTCATTTAAATATTAATATTTTCATATAACTTTATCACCTTCAAAAATGACTGAGTGCCTACCCCTCACTAAAAACATTTATGGTTGAGCACTTAAACAAGGAATTCTTATTATTCATTCGTAAATCGAAATGATTTAGATGTATCCATGCTGTTTACTTTGAGCATTCAATTTTGTATTTGTCAGGCACATCTGATCCTAACTTTCTTATCACCTCTTTAATTTTTCTTGTAGGATTTTTGCTGGTGCGGATTTGTGCGAGGCTAAAGACCCAGAAACAGACCAACTGTAAGTTAAACATGCACATCCGAGTTTTAGATCAGGATATGTATGATTACGCATAAATGTATATCATATTGAGTTGTGAAGTACTTAATGCAAGTCTAAGAGTTTTTTTGTTTTTTTCTTCAACGTTAGATATGGAATAAAAATAGAAGACCAAAAAACCAAGACGGGTTATATAAAATGCAAACCTGTTTCACCACTGATAGGTAAGAAATATTTTTACTGACTGTCAGGAACGTGAAAACCGAAAAAAAAGGGCTTCGTACACAATGAAATAGAAGGCATACTCCATCCAAATAATAATGGTCTGTGCTTTAATGTGAACGATTTGAATTTCACTGCCATGGTCATGTAAAAATACAATCAATACAGAGATAAAATATCAATACAGAGATAAAATATCAATTGAGGTTGTGGCCTATTCTTGCAGGATCACAAAGAGTTTCCTTCTTGGTTTCCGGTTATGGCCGATCCCGGATGTCTAAAGATGTCATTTCAGTTGATTCTCAGGACAAACTTTACCTTTTCCAAAGTCATGCAGGTAGCGTTAATGACCTAATGAAAAAGATTTTGACGTCATATAGAAAAAATGCCGGAAAATTGATAGTGAAACCATTATGACGGTGACTTTACTGAAATTCCATTTTCAGATGTTGTTGAAGTCAGCCCGGCTGTTGGCAGCACGGCAGGTGGGACAGTTCTTACAATAAAAGGCAAAGGTTTTGATGTAAGAGCAAAAAAAGTTTCAGTTGCAGTTTCAGGTACGCTTAATCCATGTCCATGTACGAATTTCGGGTTTGTGGGTCGAGAGTAAGGGGGGGGGGGCGACGAGAGAGAGAGTCGGGGGAAGGGAGTGAGTGATGTGCACTCTTGGATTCCTCCTAACTCAGTACGCTCTCAACAAAGAAGAACGTACTAATGGCATGAGTAGGTCTCTACGGCTGAGATTTCAACCTCTGCGGCCCCTTTTTCGTCAACACTCATGCCGTGTTTCACTCGTTCGTTTATTAAACTAAAAAAAAAACAGTTCCATCCTAATTCATCAATTTTCGCGAAACAGATATAATATCGGAAATTTGAATTAAAGGATTAAATTTAATAACCGCCTCCCGGTTAGCTCAATGGATAGAGCGCTGGACTGTTGTGCGGGAGGTCGAGGGTTCGAGCCC